GTCCGATTTAATAAATATTGAAGGGCTCAATATAAATATATGAGCAAAATTATAGAGCTCAAAGAAGTTGAAAAATACATCGAGCTAATGGATAATAAAATCCAAGAAAAAACAGTTAACAAGGTTGAAGGTGGTAGCCCTAGAATGGACGAACTACCTAGCCTACCAAAAATTGAGGTCCCCAATTTCTTTGGAAATTCCAAATATTGGGACAATTTTTATGAACTGTTTAAGGAGCCGAAGTTTATATACCCTTGCAGTTAAAACCGGATATATATCGCAAACATCGGATATAGTTGGCCGATCCTTATGGGAATAAATAATCCAATTTACTACAATACAAAATCTAAAAAAAGTCCCAAACTACTATTTTCAAAAATACGAAAGTTGATATTTCTACCAAATACCATTTCCGATCGTTCAGTTATATGGCAGCTATAGGATATAGTCCGCCGATCCTAATGAAATTTGGTAGATCGAATCAACTGACCAAAAATATTATCTGTACCAAGTTCCAGCTTTCTATCTTCAAAAACACGAAAGTTGGGTCATTTCCGATCGTTCAGTTATATGGCAGCTATAAGATCCTTATGAAATTTGGCATGTCGTATTGTTTTGCCAAAAATAGCTTTCGTGTCAAATTTGAAATCGTATCTCTATCTTTAAAAACATTAAAGTTATACCATTTCCGATCAATCAGTTATACGGCAGCTATAGGATATAGTCGGCCGATCCGCGTCGTTCCGACTTATATACTGCGTGCAAAGTAAAGAAGCTTTAAAACTGAGAGACTAGTTTGCGTAGAAACAGACAGACGGACATGCTCATATCAACTCAGGAGGTGATCCTGATCAAGAATATATATACTTTATAGGGTCGGAGATGTCTCCTTCACTGCATTGCACACTTTTGGACAAAATTATAATACCCTCTGCAAGCTTTTATAATTTCCTACCTTTTAGGAAACCTTTCCTAAAAGAATTAAAAAATTAAAAATGTTTCTTAGTAAAATCGAAACTGTGTCCGATTTAATAAATATTGAAGGGCTCAATATAAATATATGAGCAAAATAATAGAGCTCAAAGAAGTTGAAAAATACATCGAGCTAATGGATAATAAAATCCAAGAAAAAACAGTTAACAAGGTTGAAGGTGGTAGCCCTAGAATGGACGAACTATCTAGCCTACCAAAAATTGAGGTCCCCAATTTCTTTGGAAATTCCAAATATTGGGACAATTTTTATGAACTGTTTAAGGAGCCGAAGTTTATATACCCTTGCAGTTAAAACCGGATATATATCGCAAACATCGGATATAGTTGGCCGATCCTTATGGGAATAAATAATCCAATTTACTACAATACAAAATCTAAAAAAAGTCCCAAAACTACTATTTTCAAAAATACGAAAGTTGATATTTCTACCAAATACCATTTCCGATCGTTCAGTTATATGGCAGCTATAGGATATAGTCCGCCGATCCTAATGAAATTTGGTAGATCGAATCAACTGACCAAAAATATTATCTGTACCAAGTTCCAGCTTTCTATCTTCAAAAACACGAAAGTTGGGTCATTTCCGATCGTTCAGTTATATGGCAGCTATAAGATCCTTATGAAATTTGGCATGTCGTATTGTTTTGCCAAAAATAGCTCTCGTGTCAAATTTGAAATCGTATCTCTATCTTTAAAAACATTAAAGTTATACCATTTCCGATCAATCAGTTATACGGCAGCTATAGGATATAGTCGGCCGATCCGCGTCGTTCCGACTTATATACTGCGTGCAAAGGAAAGAAGGGTGTGTGCAAAGTTTCAAGACGATAGCTTTAAAACTGAGAGACTAGTTCGCGTAGAAACAGACAGACAGACGGACCGACGGACAGACGGACATGCTCATATCAACTCAGGAGTTGATCCTGATCATGAATATATATACTTTGTGGGGTCGGAGATGTCTTCTTCACTGCGTTGCACACTTTTAGACAAAATTATAATACCCTCTGCAAGGGTATAAAATCGTGAATAATAGCGGGCCAAGATGACTTCCTTGAGGGACGCCAGATGTAGTACGGACCAGACGGGACTGTATGTTTTTAAATAAGACTCTTTGTGTCCTTCCATCTAAATAGCTGCAGATCCACGTTAAAAGGTCTATAGGAAAACCCAGCATATTCAGTTTACTCAACAAGAGTGAGTGATTAACTGAATCAAATGCTTTGCTGAAGTCTGTGTAAATTGGTTTGATATCCCTTACAAAACCCATCTATGACAAAGGATGTCAACTCCAGTAAATTTTTGGTGGTGGAGCGACGCTTAATAAAGCCATGCTGACAGGGAGAGATGATCGAAGAGCATAGGTGTTGCAAGTGAGGCGTAATTAATTTTGCAAAGATAAGTTGGTTTCCAAAGATAAGTTGAAAAGTCTTTGAAGAGGTTTGCACAGAGCCCTGGCACAGTATTTTAGCACGCAGCCTGATACTCCATCGGGGCCTGGCGAATAAATGGGTTTGACGCTTAAAAGACCAGGTAATAAGTTGTTCTCAGAAAAAAACGGACAGAAAATAAGATTTGCTGCTTGAATGTTATATGCGTAAAGCTGATCAGTCAATTTAGGAGGAGAATAAGTTGTTTGAAAAAATTCTGCGAATAGATCGGCAATGGCCTGATCAGAAGTCGCAGAGGAATTTTCAAACGTAAGCAGGGGTGAAAAAGATACGTGTTTACGCTTAGTGTTTACAAAATTATAAAACTGCTTTGGATCCTGAGTAAATTGTATCCGGCAGTGGTCAATATAATTCCTATAACATTCAGAGTTATGCACGGTAAAATTCGACCGAGCTAGTAGGTATCTTGAAAAATCAACAGTACTGCAGGTTTTTTTTTTATTTAAGTAAGAGCCTATTTTTAATATTTTTTAGGTTAATGAGGCACCTTGTATACCAAGGAGAATTTGTTGAAGTGGACGAATATTTCCATGGCACACAGAAGTCAAAAAATTTATATATATGATATATATGCGGTATATATGAACATGTAATGTATAAAGATTTCACGGACATAGTGATTTTAACGCAAATAAATTCTATGTCACCAATTTATTTCACCTATGTCTTGGGATTTCACCTCTTCAGAAGCAAGAGCAGAGTCTACCAAAATGAGGACTCCACCCCCCCTTCGCTGAGGTCGGTCCCGCCTAAAAGTGGTGTACTTACTTGGAAAATCTTCGGAGCTAAAGATCTCCGGCTTTAACCAAGTTTCTGTAAAAGCTATAATATGGGATGCAAAGCAAGAACTATCAGAATATAGTTTAGGGAGTTTTCTACGGAGCCCCCTAGTGTTCTGATAGGTAAGTGTTAGTGACGATACTAGTTTTTGCGTTAGTGGACAAGTGGACTGACCACTGAACGTTGGTCAGTGGTTCCGATATTGGGAAGTCTCACTCCCACTGGTTTTAAAACTTTTTTCTTTACGGAACTAGGCTGATGTTCTTGGACGAAAATATTCTCTGGCCAAAAACTGGAAGAACAAATCGTCTTGAACATCAGCGCGGGCACACGAATCTTGAAAGAAGACGTGCGCGTGTATAATTATATTTAAATTTAGTTATGTCCTCCACCTTTATATCGGCTTTTGTTTTTGCTTTGATATGAGCCGAGATATCAATCTCTGAAGTATCAGGGGCAAGCCGATAAACAAATATATGTTTCGATGGAGGAATCACCTGTAAGGGTTTTGGTGTCGCAGGTACGAGAACTGCAGCATCAGTCGGTGCCGGTGGTCCGGACTTTTGAATACCCTTTTGGGTGACTCTGACGATGGTTTAATTTACTAGGACCTGTGGTATCACTTGAAGGGATATCACAGAGGATATATCAGACAATTACTAATTTTCCTTGAGAAATTCGGACGGCGAAATATTCTCAGTTCTAGCCCTTTGGGATGGCCAAAGATATGAGCAGCTGCGTTGTTGACGGCTGAATAGGCTGAGGCGAATCACAAACAGCGGATTTCTTACGCTTAGGAGACTCAGTTATTAGCTGAAGGCTGCTAAACTGAGTGCCAAGCGCAGAGTTGGTCATTGACTTTGCGAAAACCAGTGAACCCGGCACCACGCGAAGCGATATGGTTTAGGATAAACTGAAATTTCTCAAAGTTCTATTCTCAAGTTAGTAAACACCGGTTTACGGTAATATTTATATTAAACGCAATGCGCACAAAAAAACACACGACCGTTTGCTTAAGAGGAAGATAACGGTCGTGTGTGGTGATGGTGAATAGTAATGTAGATAGCCAGCATATACTAACATGATTTCATGTAAACGTTTCTAATAGATGGAACCGATCCTATTTATCAATTTGGCTTCCGCGAAAGTCATAGCACCAACGAGCAAGTTAAATCAAAAATCGTTTCCCAAGACCTATACTGGACAATACTTTAGAATCTTGAGCTCCTCAAGGTAGTGCTATTGTGTTCCATACGCTTTAGTGTCTAGTGGCGAACACCACCAAGTGTGTGTCTTGCAAGGAAGGAAGGCCGTTTGTGCTCTTGTCCGGCTGTAAGGCACAAAGACTGCATATCTTTCCCGTCGTACGCCTTTGAGGTGTGTTAACTGGCAACCAACCCGGATCAGGTGCCACGCATAGCGAAAAGTCGAAGTAAGAGAGCCGAGGGCGGAAGTAGGGAGCTAGCGGCGGTAACAACCACAAATGCAGCGGCGCGACGGCAGAAGAGGCAAAACAAGCGCGAGAATTCGAACGAAGGGACTCACGAAGCGGCTGCTAGGCTAAACCATTCTTTCTGGAGTACGCCTGGAGAGTGGAGATCTTGACGACCGACCCAAATAAAAAATTATTGTTTTTGCTACTTTTTAAAAATAAAATTGCATTACTTTTCTTGATTTGAAGCACAAAAAAGTACATTTTGTCTGTCTAGTGTAAAATCGATATAATTGAAATAGTTAGAATTGTGCCTGCTAATACGTATGAATTATCGAATAATTTAGAAGTATTAACATTTATATGAAATAGTGTGATTTCTTGTGATTTCTTAAATATTATATTATCAAATAGTTTCATGTTGACTTACAAAATTTTCACACTACTAATCGAAAGTGCTTTTAAAAAAATAAAAAAGTAAATAAACCATAAAAAATATTCCTATTATATTAAAATGATATATAAAAACCATATAAACAATTATAAAGCTAAACAAGAATTATTCATAATGCTAAGATAAATATGTTCGAAAAATACATGCGTATAATAATACATACGTACATATATCTAAATGTAGTATGTATTTTTCGCAGCATAATGATGTTATATCACTTTTTAAATTGAAATTATTTTTGTTTACATTGGCAAAGCATAAATAGTGCACATGTGTAATACATGTGTAATTGTGTATGTACTGACAAATGAAAAAAAACTATATAATATGACTATAATGAAATAGTTTGTTCCACATACATATGTACGTACCAACTCGCGAGTTTATATGAAATACATAGTTTATATGAACATACATACATATGTACATATTTATAGACAATTTTGATGCCCTTCGCAAAAAAAAGTAGTACAAAGTCAATTACAATAGTTTTTTATGCCAAAGAATAAAATTTTAAATATGAATAAACTATGTTTTTCTTGCTGTTCTGTAGCCTAATCGGAACTCTCCGATGTGGTTTTTCTCCGAACTTTAGGTTTTTTTTTTACATATCTTTGCAGATTGTAGTAAAATCAAAGTAAAAGGTAGTAAAGGATCCATTCAAAATTTTTGTGAAATCAAAATTTTTGGTGTGCGTCTGATCTGAATAAGCCATTTATGTATGTAGGTATTGCTCAGTGGTCGGCACTCAATACATTGATATGATTTGAGGCTGTCAGCATGTGTGTGTGTTCGGCAAAGCTCTGGGAGAGAAATTTCCTATGCACCTGAAATTTCCTAGCCCTGCCGACCACTGCTCTAATTACTTAGACCAGTGTTGCTCATCCCATTGCTCTCGCTGCTCATTTGTTTTAGCAAATGCTCATGTATACGGAGTTGTTGGACTGCTCACTCATAAGGTTCCGTTGCTCACGCCATAAGTTTCGTTGGTCCTAGCATAGGCAAATGGCAATTACAATAACAATTTTTCGTGTTTTCCCTATTCTCCTCAATTGTGCTAATCCCAAATCGTTTTGATCTCTGCAAGAAATTCATTCTTATTTTTGTTGCTGCCAAAAAGGTCGACCTGAAGCAATGAATTTCTGCTTTGCAGAACATTTTTTTAAGTAAGAAGTTCTGCATTATTTGTCATAGTATTACAACAGCTTATTATTAGCTGTTGTAAAAAATGTTGGGTCTTTTTTGACTGGTGTAATAAAATTTATTTTTTATTATATTGATTTTTTTAAACCCCTTGTGAATGTAACTATATTTTTATTTTTCAGTGCATCCACATGGATGGAAAAAAAATTCTCGCACCAATGTATTGATGATTTTTTGCATGGGTATGGGAGTTTTTCTCGCGTATGCAGAGCTTGGGCACCCCTGACTAATAATACAAATGAAAAATATTATTTTCATTTTTCACGTCACTAATAAGATGACGAAACATTTGGCTACCAATACGAAAGTAATTCAACTGCCGCCGTCTTAAGGTTTAAGACTTATAACAATATACATATGTTTCATATTTCTAATATCCATATATTTTTTTATAGGGACAGTGGGAATCTCATAAATTGAATCCTGCGCGTCACTAATAATGTGACGAGGCATTGGGCTACCATTACGAAACTAATTCACTTTCGCCGTTACGAGGTTTAAGACTTATAACAGTGTTGCTCATCCCATTTCTCTCGCTGCTCATTTTTTTTTGCAAATGCCCATGCATACGGAGTTGTGTGTGACTGCTCAAGCCATAAGTTTCCGTTGCTCACGCCGTAAGCTTCGTTCGTCCCAGCATAGGCAAGTGGCAATTACAAAAACAACTTTTCGTATTTTCCCTATTCTCCTCAATCGTGCTAATCCGAATGCATTTTATTGTTGGAGTGCCGAAAAATTTCACTGCAAGAAATTCATTCTTGTTTTGTTTCTGCCAAAATGGTCGACCTGAAGCGATGAATTTGCTCTTCGCAGAACATTTCTTTTAAGTACGAGGCTCTGCATTATTTGTCATGGTATAATAATAAGCTGTTGTAAAATATGTAGGACCTTTATATAATTGCTGTAATAAAATGTATTGTTTATTATATTGATATTATTAAACCCCTGGTGAATGTTACTATAATTTTATTTTTCAGTGCACCCACATAGATGGGAAAAAAATTCTCTCACCAATGTATCGATGATTTTTTGCATTAATATGGGAGTTTGCTCTCCCGTATGCAGAGTTTGGGCAACACTGACACTGAACACTTGTGTTGAAATCTAGCAGTCTGTTTGCACTTTTTTGTTTTACCCAATCATGAAAAAGTTGGAGATTTTAGATATTAAAATATAACCAACATTTGTTGTACTATTTTTAAAAATCTTTAGATTAAGTTTAAATATTAAAACAACTTCAATAAACATATTACCATATATATTTTTTTTTCAACTTAAAAATATATCTAAATTTCAGACCGATATGAACACGTCTTCCCTAGACGCCCATATAAGATAGGCTTCCTCTTATTGATATCTGTACGCTAATGCTAGCATTCGATAATTTCAACAAATGTATTCACTTCATTTTCTTTACATTTAACTTTATATTAATAAGTAAAAAATAATAACACATTCAAAATGACTAAGTATTTTACATCTAACAAGAAAGAAAAGCTAACTTCGGGCGGAGCCGAAGTTGATATACCCTTTCAGTTAAAACCGGATATATATCGCAAACATCGGATATGGTTGGCCGATCCTTATGATTACGACATAATAAAACCAATTAATTACAATAAAAAATCTAAAAAAAAAGTCCCAAGCTTCTATCTTCAAAAATACGAAAGTTGATATTTCTACCAAGTACCATTTCCGATCGTTCAGTTATATGGAAGCTATAGGATATAGTCGGCCGATCCTAATGAAATTTGTTAGGTTGGATCAACTGACCAAAAATAGAATCTGCACTAACTTTCTATCTTCAAAAACACGAAAATTGGGTCATTTTCGATCGTTCAGGTTCAGGCAGCTGTAAGATATAGTCGGCCGATCCTTATGAAATTTGGCATGTCGCAATTTTTTGCCAAAAATAGCTCCCGCGTCAAATTTGAACTCTAAAAACACCAAAGTTATACCATTTCCGATCAATCAGTTATATGGCAGCTTTAGGATTTAGTCTGCCGATCCGGGCCGTTCCGACTTATATACTGCGTGCAAAGGAAAGAAGGGTGTGTGCAAAGTTTCAAGACGATAGCTTGTGAGAGACTAGTTCGCGTAGAAACGGACAGACAGACAGACGGACCTGCTCATATCAACTCAGGAGATGATCCTGATCAAGAATATATATACTTTATAGGTTCGGAGATGTCTCCTTCACTGCGTTGCACACTTTTGGACAAATTTATAATACCCTCTGCAAGGGTATAAAAATGTGACTAACATTCGAATTCTGCATCAATTTCTTTTGAAAACCAATTTTCAGAGTTAGAACTTGAATCACTAATGCTAAATCCGGAACATTGTTATTATTGTTGATGTTACAAGAATATAGCAGATAGTAGTTATGTACTAGGGGTAGGGGTAGCTTATGTGCACAATTTGTGGGATTTTCCGAGAAAAAAATAAAGCAATAGCACTAGCTAAAAATCAAATCAAATAATGTGTTCCCCGTAGCCGTAGCAGTAGTAAACACATGTAGTAGTTGTAAAAAATAAGTCTTCTAATCTAAATTTGCCCCACCACTTATCACCCACCGACAGTATTTATGACTGTAAGCGGTCCTTTGCTTTTGGCAGTAACAATTCAATTCGTACACCAATAGAAGTTATAGATGTCAATGTATTCGGAAAAATATTCCGAAGAGAACTAGTCTCGTCTTTCAATATACAATGTTAATTTGGTATCCTTTAATGGTACCATTAATTAAGGACGCTATTTTGCGCATTTAACGAAAAATTTATTAGCTACTTTACTCTAAAAATAAATCTAATCCCAATCGGCAGATTTTTGAGGATTTTTACCCATATATGTACATACATACCATTTCCCATACAAACGGAGTACAATTTTGAACGCAGGGATATCGAAATCTATAAGAGATAGAACTATCCGATTCGAAACTTCGCCTCGTATGGTAAAAAATAATATATTTTGATAAAATTTTAAACTAGAGCCCTGCACGAAAACACTCATATACAAGATACTTGTATTTGGAAGATTCTGTAAAATTACTTCAAACAAACGTAATGTAAACAAAAGTATGCCATGTCACTGTTCTTGTCGAAAACAACTATAGTTAAACGAACACTTTTATCGACCGATTACGTCAAAATAACAAAGGCAATCACATACCCGAAATATAAAAAAATTTAAAAATACTACTTGCCTTAGTTTTCGAATTTGTCGGATTGTATAGCTGATCCGTAATATTTACAGGGCTCATTCGCTCATTCAATAAAAATTCCATAAGTAAACCAGCTGAATCTGAAATTCTAGCTAAATTTACCGTTTTGGAGTGGTAGAATTGCAATAAAGACCAATTCAACAAAATTATAAAGGTTATTTAGAGTTGTTTTTAGAGTTAGAGAGTTCAAATTTGATATGAGAGCTATTTTTGGCAAAACATTACGACATGCCAAATTGCATAAGGATCGGCCGACTATATCCTAAAGCAGCCATATAACTGAACAAACGGAAATGACACAACTTTTGTGTTTTTGAAGATAGAAAGCTAGAACTTAGATTATATTTTAGAGCTAGATAATATTTTTTCCGGTTTTAACTGCAAGGGTATATCAAATTCGGCTCCGTCAAAAGTTAGTTTTCTTTTCTTGTTTTCAGGTATTTTTGGTTATTTTTTGGGTCACCTACCAACGATCAGCGTACTTCATCTTATAGCTGCCATATATAAGATGAACGATCGGAAATGGTATTTGGTAGAAATACCAACTTTGGTATTTTTTAAGATAGAAGTTTGGGATTTTTTTTAGATTTTATATTATAATAAATTGGTTTATATTATCATATTCTCATAAGAATCGGCCAACTATATCCGATGTTTGCGATATATATCCGGTTTTAACTGCAAGGGTACCATATATCAACACTTTCCTTTCTTGTTTTTTACTAAAGATGTTTATTACTTTTAAGATCAACACCAACTTTTGACCACTTATTTATTATGATAATAGCTAGTCCGTGAACGAAAGATGTTCAATTTTTTTTTTTTCAATTTAATATTTTGCACGGTACAACTGTATATTACCCCTTAATTCAAACAAGAAAGAAAAACTTATGTACTTCGGGCGGAACCGAAGTTGATATATCCTTGCAGTTAAAACCGGCTATATATCGCAATCATCGGATATAGTTGGTCAATTATAGTTTATACAATTAAAAATCTAAAAAAAAAGTCCCAAGCTTCTATCTTCAAAAATACCAAAGTTGGTATTTTTACCAAATACCATAGTTGGTATTTTTACCAAATACCAAAGTTGGTATTTTTACCAAATACCATAGTTGGTATTTTTACCAAATACCAAAGCTGGTATTTTTAACAAATACCAAAGTTTTTACTTTTACCAAATACCATTTCCAATCGTTCAGTTATATGGCAGCTATAAGATGAAGTACGCTGATCGTTGGTAGGTGACCCAAAAAATAACCAAAAATACCTGAAAACAAGAAAGGAAAGCTAACTTTTGACGGAGCCGAATTTGATATACCCTTGCAGTTAAAACCGGAAAAAATATTATCTAGCTCTAAAATATAATCTATGTTCTAGCTTTCTATCTTCAAAAACACAAAAGTTGTGTCATTTCCGTTTGTTCAGTTATATGGCTGCTTTAGGATATAGTCGGCCGATCCTTATAAAATTTGGCATGTCGTATAAAAGTAGCATTCATACCAAATTTGAAAAAAAATTTCTCTAACTTTAAAAACACCAAAGTTATACCATTTTCCATCAATCAGTTATTTGGCAGCTATAGGATATAGTCGACCGATCCCGGCCGTTCCGACTTATATACTGCGTGTGATAAATCGATAGCTTTAAAACTGAGAGACTAATTTGCGTAGAAACAGACATACGGACAGGCTCATATGTATCTAAACAACTCATATATAAACAGCTAGAAATTTTACTTGATTAACGTTCTACCTGTCCACTTAAGAGTTCAACCATTTATATAATGACATGCAAAACCACCCAGAAAAGTTTTTTAACTAATTACGGATGTCTATTTCGAGTTTTGACTATACTATGACTCTGTCAAATAAGTATCCGGAAATTCACATTTAAAATTTTCCCGCTGAGAATATTTCGATAAAATTTTTTTTCCCAGGTTGGCACAACTGTCAGCCATTATTCTGTCAATCGTTCACTTCTTATCGCCCCTCTTTGAACGATTTATACCAATCGTAAACTTGAGTTTTCGACATGGTTGAATCACCACATATTTTATTTATCATTTTCAACGTTTTGGCACAAGAAATTTCGTTGGAAACACAAAATTTCACACAAACTCTTTGTTCGATATTTTTTTCCATAATAAAAATCGCAAAAGTAGTATTAATGTATTGAATAAATTAAACTATATATTAACAAATTACCATCTGTGCATTCAAACACGCGTGATTTAAAAATAAACTGTAATTAAATCACAAAATGCCACAAAACAATCAAACGCTCTAAGCTAGTTGAAGCGATACAGCAGGATGCGAACTGCTCTCTCGCTTTGCTCCCGCATCATCGCTTGAACTCGCATCTCGCTTCGATTGCACTCTGACATATTTCAAGCGATTGCATATGAAAAAGGTTGCTGTGGCATTGAGACTTTGAGACATTGAATATTTTTGTTATTTGTGTTATTCAGATAAATTATTTCAGTAGTGCCGTGGATTAAATAAGCCGTTAATCTAAAAATTACATCCTTAAATTTCTGGATTTGTATACCCTTATTTTAATGGTATTCTCATTTGGTCAAAAGTGTATATACAAAAAAATACATGAAAACCTTAATTATATTTAAAATTACTAATCAGCGCACTTTATGTTAACATGTTACTATTTATTCTTCCTGTCCAATTCTCAAACAATATGTTTGGATTAAAATGATCTTAATAATTAAAAAATTTCTAATTATGCATAATTTATCATAGAATAAAACGGACACAGAAAATAAAAAATTTATTTGAGTTTATCTAGTAAATTTATTTATGCTTTAGACCAAATATGATGACTTATACAAACTATTTTTTTCAGAATTTTATTTATCAACAACAAAGGAAACATTTTTTTCCTCAATAAAGGAATATTTGAATTACTGAAACATCAAATAATCATAATGCATTCGGATGGAATGTTTAAACATGCAATTTAACGTCCTTAATGATGAAATGAAGGATTCTGTAAACCTGTTCATTACTCTACAATGCCAAATAAAAAAATATAGAATTTGGTACATTTAATTGTTCAATTCAATGTTGTTATCTAGCAAAACTTTACTTTTTTTTAAATTTAACGCCAATAGATCCTGTCGGGCGAAGAGTATTAATCAAGTGATTACATCGTAATGAATTTTTTTAAAGTTATAAAAAAGAATCTGCAGCTATTAATTATAAAGCAATACTTAAGTGTATTGGTAACAATAAAAAAAATTAATTGGTTTAAAGGTTTCTTACAATCCAAACCCACCACAAGCTTTAAAATTCTACAGAAAGAATATATAAAGGACATTCTATCTAAAAGAGTTGGAAGCAAAGGAAATTTGTATATATCATTTACTAGCTTTGGATGATACGAAAAAAATTAGGATTGGCAAATATACAGCCAATTACATGTTGTAATGAAATCGGTTATTGATATCAAATATTCTGACCATTTTAAATGATGAGTTTTGGATGATTTATTGCTTACATTAAATAGCAACATTTATTCTATGCTTTGAAGGGTGTAAAGTTTTTATACTTGAAAATGTTATTGACATTAAATTTATGTACGACTTTCGTAACAGTTGATAAAATCCAGAATATGTACAGATGACATAGTGTTTGAAACAGTACTTAAAACTGATATTCCTAATAAAAAAGTTCTTTGGTTTTTGAAAAGCAATATACCATAACACGATTAAGCTGATTCCACAAAATATGTTTTATAGACAGGACATAGTTTCTGGTTTCGCATCTCCGCCTGACGAGGCATTGCATCTGAAATTAAGGAAAACTGTTAATAACAAAAAGGAAACTTCATATTTAGATATGGATGAAAATAGTCAATCCTCTAAAATAGCTAACAAAAACAAACTTTTGAAGCTTAATTGGTGGCATTCGCCCAATCAATTGCAGGATGTAGAAGCAATATTAACACAATCGAAAAGAAGAGAACCGGAAAAGGGTGGGAACTCTAATAACCTTGAAAATAATAATACGGTGTCCTCTACAGTACTGTCCAAAACTGTCTCCAGATTTTCTGGCACTCAAAGCAAGATGGGAGGAACAAAAGAAGAACCTGTATTGGAAGCAGGTGTCGATGAATGTGACCTGAAAGACTCACATAAACTTTTCGACGGTACGTATTTAATTCTATTCAAGTATTTTATTCAATTCATTTTATGCAGTTTAAAATCGTACAAAAATTGTAGATAGTCATTTTTAACAATAATTCTGTTTTGTAATTATAGGATGTAGAGGGCTGTGGAGTAGAGTTGTACAAAATTATACTTTTTGTGAATCGATTTTTTTCAATTCGATTCTTGAAAAGATCGATGTAAGAGGAATCCTAAATAAATAGTGGTTACTCCAATGAGTTCCTTTCGGAAACTGATTTTGTTTTGTAAAATTCTCTAATAAGTAAGATACATGAAAATCTTAAATCTATTAAAAACTACTTATCAATGCAATGCACCATTTGTGTACATATTTGTGTATGATGCAGGTGATCGGTTTTAGACCATGCTGCTTATCTCGTATTTCATGGGTCCTTTCCCTTGAAACTCTAACTTAAGAATTTGTATATCAATGCTTGAACAATCGATAAAATCAATTTAAAATCGAAAACGAAAAAAAAATGTTCCACGATGTTCTAACGGGGAAACTTTACATTTGCAAACAAAAATCAAACTCAATAACAATAAAAGTTTGAGATCAATATTTGTTCAGTCAAAACCCATAGGTTTTTACTTGTAGCTTTTCAACCTTGTTTGTTTTTAGGAAAGCTCGGCGGTCGTTAACCCTGCTGAATGTCGTTTACCGACTCCGTGGAACACGCTGGAATGCAGAAATATTTTAATGAACATTCTTTCAGAGATTCCATCTCAGTTGCGTAACTCTAGAAGAAAAATTAAATTTCAATTTGGCAATAAATAATGCATAAATGAAAAGAAGGCCACGCTCTCAGTGCACTGAAGTTTTGGCCATTCCTGCAAGTTCGTTTTGTATAGCTTCTACTGCTAAATCCGCGATACTCCTGCGCCAACATCCTTCTTTCTTAGATCCAGAATCCAAGATAGTCTCCACTTTACTTACTGAGCGAGTCCGTAACCAGTACTCCAACTATCATCGGTTAACCCCTTTCAAGAGAACTTTTCGATGCATCGATTCCCTAAAAAAAGAATCAATTTTTTCGCTCATCGCTCAAAAGATCAATTAAATCGATTTAAAGATCGAATTGTTAATAGCTCTACTGTGGAGACCACTTCTACCCTATAACTTATTTATTATTAATTTAGTTTTAAGTGCACGGCTCTTATCAAGCATTAAGGTACTTTATATATAGGGTAACAAAAGTTTTTCCCAATGGTATAGTATTTGGCGTTGAGTGGATAATTTTATAATGCTTCTTAGGATAAGAAAAACCCGGGAGCTCAATTTTTATACCCTTGCAGAGGGTATTATAATTTTGTCTAAAAGTGTGCAACGCAGTGAAGGAGACATCTCCGACCCTATAAAGTAACACGTATATTCTTGATCAGGATCACCTACTGAGTTGATATGAGCAGGTCCGTCTGTCTGTCTGTTTCTACGCGAACTAGTCTCTCAGTTTTAAAGCTATCGTCTTGAAACATTGCACACACCCTTCTTTCCTTTGCACGCAGTATATAAGTCGGAACGGCCGGGATCGGCCGACTATATCCTATAGCTGTCATATAACTGATTGATCGGAAATGGTATAACTTCGGTGTTTTTAGAGTGAGAGAGTTTTAAATGAGCGCTATTTTTGGCAAAATAATACGACATGCCAAATTTCGTAAGGATCGGCCGACTATATCTTATAGCTTCCATATAACTGAACGATCGGAAATGACCCAACTTTCGTGTTTTTGAAGATAGAAAGCTGGAACTTGGTACAGATTATATCTTTGGTCAGTTGATCCGACCTACCAAAATTTCCGGGTTATTTCCGATCGTTCAGTTATATGGCAGCTATAGGATATAATCGGCCGATCCTTATGAAATTTGGTATGTCGTATTATTTTGCCAAAAGTAGCTCTCATGTGAAATTTAAACTCTCTAACTCTAAAAACACTAAAGTTATACCATTTCCGATCAATCAGTTATGTGGCAGCTATAGGATATAGTCGGCCGATCCGAGCCGTTCCGACTTATATACTGCGTGCAAAGGAAAGAAGGGTGTGTGCAAAGTTTCAAGACGATAGCTTTAAAACTGAGAGACTAGTTCGCGTAGAAACAGACAGACAGACGGACCGACGGACAGACGGACATGCTCATATCAACTCAGGAGTTGATCCTGATCATGAATATATATACTTTGTGGGGTCGGAGATGTCTTCTTCACTGCGTTGCACACTTTTAGACAAAATTATAATACCCTCTGCAAGGGTATAAAATCGTGAATAATAGCGGGCCAAGATGACTTCCTTGAGGGACGCCAGATGTAGTACGGACCAGACGGGACTGTATGTTTTTAAATAAGACTCTTTGTGTCCTTCCATCTAAATAGCTGCAGATCCACGTTAAAAGGTCTATAGGAAAACCCAGCATATTCAGTTTACTCAACAAGAGTGAGTGATTAACTGAATCAAATGCTTTGCTGAAGTCTGTGTAAATTGGTTTGATATCCCTTACAAAACCCATCTATGACAAAGGATGTCAACTCCAGTAAATTTTTGGTGGTGGAGCGACGCTTAATAAAGCCATGCTGACAGGGAGAGATGATCGAAGAGCATAGGTGTTGCAAGTGAGGCGTAATTAATTTTGCAAAGATAAGTTGGTTTCCAAAGATAAGTTGAAAAGTCTTTGAAGAGGTTTGCACAGAGCCCTGGCACAGTATTTTAGCACGCAGCCTGATACTCCATCGGGGCCTGGCGAATAAATGGGTTTGACGCTTAAAAGACCAGGTAATAAGTTGTTCTCAGAAAAAAACGGACAGAAAATAAGATTTGCTGCTTGAATGTTATATGCGTAAAGCTGATCAGTCAATTTAGGAGGAGAATAAGTTGTTTGAAAAAATTCTGCGAATAGATCGGCAATGGCCTGATCAGAAGTCGCAGAGGAATTTTCAAACGTAAGCAGGGGTGAAAAAGATACGTGTTTACGCTTAGTGTTTACAAAATTATAAAACTGCTTTGGATCCTGAGTAAATTGTATCCGGCAGCGGTCAATATAATTCCTATAACATTCAGCGTTATGCACGGTAAAATTCGACCGAGCTAGTAGGTATCTAGAGAAATCAACACTACTGCAGGTTTTTTTATATTTATACGCCAGAATAACAGACCAGTCAAATGTATCGATAGCCTTATCCGATAGCCGATTGAGTTTCTGAAAATCAGCTTTACGGAAACAGCGAATCTTATTTACCACGCTCGGAGACATCTGATCGATACCAGGAGTGGTTTCGATAGAGACCTCCAGCGTGGGGTGATATGGATCCTCTGGGGTTGAAAGGGGAAAAGCTCTGGAGAGAGCAGTACCATCAGGATCAGATACAAAACATAAGTCTAAAAGCCGACCTAGCGAATTTCTAACATGATTGATCTGACCTAGGGACATGTCAAACATGCCCGCGGTGAAGTCATGGTAAGTTATAAGTGACAAAGATTCTGGGACATTAAAGTCGCCCACCGCTACGAGTTGGTCACGATCCGTCATAAGATTAGAGACGTATCGAATGGCGGACAAATGCTGCCAATATGTAGGCGGTTCAGACATAGGAGGTATATATGAACATGTAATGTATAAAGCTTTAACGGACATAGTGATTTTAACGCAAATAAATTCTATGTCACCAAACTCTTGGGATTTCACCTCTTCAGAAGCAAGAGTAGAGTCTACCGAAATGAGGACTCCACCTCCTCTTCGTTGAGATCGATCCCGTCTAAAAGTGGTGTACTTACTTGGAAAACTTCGGAGCTAAAGATCTCCGGATTTAACCAAGTTTCTGTAAATGCTATTATATGGGATGCAAAGATTTATGCAATGCGATTTTAAAAGAAGAGATGTCCATTAAATCAGCTATAATTACTGGTTTTGGTTCATGTTTTAATATTTCCAAGATGTCATCATTGTTTAAAATTTTGGTATTAAAAACGTATATTTTTGCTAGAGTGATTGTGTCAATTAAATTTTGCAGATCAAATGTTAATAATCGCAAGCGATGTTTTCGAAGTGGTAGATCTTGATCAATAAATACTTTTTTAAAATCATCGGAAAGAGATTCTATTTCTTTAAATAATCGGGAATTGATAGTAGACTGCTTATTATTGTTTTTAATTAATTCATTAATTTTATTCTGAACTGATCATGGTCCGGAGTTCCAGCTAACCATTTCCACATGGTCCCTAACTCATTTATCCCTCTTTTTGATCTAGTTGATATTAATTGTGATAAAATTAGTTCTATTACTTTTATGTCATATTTAATTTCCCATTGTGACCTGTTATTAGTATCACTTTTAATATTATCTGATTACAAATTTATTATTTCTTTATAAAAGCTGAAGTTAGTTACATGGAATAAATCTGCATCGTACGTCAACACGTCTTTATTGTCCTTAAATAGAAGACTTGTATAGTCAATTATTTCTGATTTTTTTAATAAAATAAGGTTTAGTATGAGCACCTGATAAAAAATTTTCTGGGAAAGGAAAGAAAAAAAAAAGGATGATATATAAATACTTAGAATTTTATATTATCTTTGTGATTATTATTTTGTTGGGTAAATTTTCTTTAACTATTTGTTTTTTATATCTGGTTTTAAGTTTATTTCTTTCCCCGTGTTTCTTTTCATAGCCTACCTGTCCTACATGATCTCCTTTTTTTTTTTTGTTTTCGTTATGTGTTTCCAACATTTTCTCTTGAGTATTTTTCAAAAGTTCAGGAATGTTATCGTTTTGTATTTTATTATATAGTACGTTAAAAGGTTTTTGGTTCGTTGTAGAATGAATGCTCTGATTGCATTCTTGAGCGGCTCTTATTATTATTTCGGAAAAGTCAGTTAAATTAAATTCTTCTTTAATGCATCGAGCTAATTCTGTTAATTCTACAGAATGTGCCCTTTCAACCTGTCCGTTTGACGTGCTATGCCTCGGGTCTGCGTAATGTAAAGTTA